TTACGTACGTACACATGCGGTATCATCCACACATTCATGAGGCATGTATGTATAATGCGCGCGTATGTTTAACTGTCTTTAGATTTCTGCTACCTCGCATGTCAGTCCCTCCCTGGCCTCTTTCACTTTATCGTTCCTTTAGCTTCTGTTATCATTTAATGTAGCCAAGGGCCATAACAAATATATATCCATTATTTGACATTAAACGAAGGCAACGCAACTTGGTAAAATAAGTCTCATGAAAGATAACTGGCAGATAGTCTAATTCGAAAGCCTCGTCTCTCATGTTAAAAATAGAGTCATTGGTAATCAGGCACGCGGGCCGGTCAAAATGCCTTCGTGGGCCGGATCCGGCTCGCGGGCCGGTCAAAATGCCTTCGTGGGCCAGATCCGGCTCGCGGGCCGTAGGTTGCCGACCCTTGACTTAGATGCTATTACGTATGCGTAAGTAGGAGAAAGGACCCTGAGAATTTTAAATTGAAGTTTAATTTTCTTTTTAATTTCAGTGTCCCCTCTACTTCATACGTATGTGTAGACGCATCAACTTTATTTAGTCCAATGACATCCTAAAGGACGAAACGTGTCACACGAAAAGTTTTACACTTTGTCATAGATTTAAAAAAAAAATGATATATCCTTTGCCCATATTAATTTTCAGTATAACACTTTTTTAAGCGTTTTACCCCAAGTAAGGCGGGAGTGTCACTAGCACGCGAGGGGTTACACAGAGTGTAAGCAAGAGTAAAGAGGGGTGTTTGAGGAAAGGATATAGAGAAGGACGGGGAATTAGATCAAAGCGTCTGGAGATGTCGATTGACATTGAATTTGAATATTTGGAGATCATAGCTATCAGCGAAGCAAATAAGAGAAAAGGAGTTCCACAGACGGGAAGTGCAAGACATGAAGGTATTGGAGTAGAAGAGATGGCTACATTTAATCGTTTCGACAGTGAAAGGGTGGGACTGGAATACCATCCTAGTGGCAGGTTTAAATGCAGTTTGGGAACCAGCGAAAGTAGCTCGTCGGGGCAGTTATCGTGAAAGTATTTGTAGAAAAGACAGAGGGAAGCGACGGCACGTCTGTGAGAGAGCGACCGTAAATGAGATGTCAGATCAGGGCCAATCAAATTGCATTTAATGAAAATGTTATTAAGATGTTTAGCTAGTCAATATTGAATATTTTTTTCTTTATGGTTTATCATAGCCAGAAAAAGGTTATATTTTTTAAAAAGTCAAATTGGGTTCATCGAATTCACTTTTGATATCATAGGTGATTCAATATTTTTCTTCGTGGCTTCTAATGAATAAATTTAACCTTTTTAGCCATCTAAATGGGATCAAATTTATATTGCTGAAATAACGATGTTTAAAAAGAAAAACGTATTTATGAGAATATAAGAGGCATAAAAAAATCAAGGATACACTAAATTATTTATTCCATCATATACTCAATAGAAGCCTTGGTTGGGTTGAGATCTTTTCAACTATCTTCTTTTAATCATTTCATCCCAAGCAAGTCGATAATGCCCCAAGGCCACAGGGAGTTACTGAGAGTAAAAGATAATGGGAAAAACTTAGTGAAGAGAAAATAAAATAAAAGAACAGTATTCACGAAGACAGAAGCTGGTGATTGACGCTTCAAGTTCTTGAAGATTTATCGGTGGCAAGTGTCGGGTTACCTCCTCCTAAGTTTTGAAACTGCTTCTATAGGACGCTCTCAGGACTATAAATACTCTGCGATCGTTTTCTTACTCTCTTCTTACTTTATCCGCCAAGTATTCTCTCGTGGAAAACGCGCTTACATATGGGAAACGCATGAACAATATACACACACAGACATGTACGTACGCATGTTCACTCACTACACACTACTACTGTACTGATGCGGCATTCACCCTGGGCGGATTGAGCCGGCTTCTTCCTATTATGAGAAGAAGATTCTTGGGATAAATTACAGAAGTAGGGTACCCAGGCCTACTCGGATAACGTTCTTGCTTGCCGCGGGGTTCCTACAGACGCAGAGACAGGAACGACCAGAAGCCGCCGGTTACCGATGCAGACGCTCCTTGGATTTTCACCAGAGCCCTTGTTAGCCGGCGTGTGTGTCAGACCTGTCCGCCTTGGGTGGCCCTACCAGGAACGAAGTTCCGGGCGGCATAGCTCTGACACTACCGTTTACACGCCCACACCGACTGTGAGGTAAGGGTTGGACTTTGGGGGCTTACAGTACCAGGTGTTCCCAAGCGGTCCCCCATCTAAGTACTGACCTGGCTCTACGCTGCTTAACTTCGGTGATCGTACGAGAACCGGTGTTTCAGCGTGATTTGACCGTAATCTCACTACACATATTTTGGGCCAAAAAGTTTTTACATTCATTTGTTACACACATTATTGTATTAGACTTGTATACCTTTGTTGGGAATACATTATCATTTCTTTGTACATATATATTGGTTCTTGTCGTTTCTTTGCATTTAGTTACGTGTATTCACATCCCAAGTCCGCTATTTTGCTGCGGGTATTTTCAAGAGACAGCATGTTATTCCCAATTTCAAACACTGACGGTACTAACGCCCAAAACAAGTTGGAGACCGCATATAACCGACCAGCAACACAAGAAAAATCAGAAGGGAATTCCACAGGTGAGTAGTTCAAGAAAATAAACTATTGGAATAGAACTTACGGTTAAATGTTTCTAATTCAATGACAAAACGATGAGACCTAATTGCCAATCTAGTATTGCACTTAAATTGACGCGGTCCAATTAATAAAGAGAAAAGCTCTCTAGAACCATTAACACAAAGATATTGTTAGAAAATCTCACTAGAACCATTATCACAAAGATATTGTTAGAAAATCTCACTAGAACCATTAACACAAAGATATTGTTAGAAAAGCTCTCTAGAACCATTATCACAAAGATATTGTTAGAAAAGCCCACTAGAACCATTAACACAAATATATTGTTAGAAAAGTCAGAGTAAATTTGGTGATAAAATCACTAATGTCTAAATACCAGAACAAGGCCGATAACATTACAGATCCATCTTTGAATTTTATCGAGAATCTCAAGATATATAGCCGGCGCATCTGACCAGATATGAAAGCAATATTCAATGCACAGACGAATGAGAGATTTATAAATGTTTAAGATTGATTCTGATGAAACACTTTTTCTGGCACGACACAATGAACCAACTTTGCTTGGAGCAGAACTTGAAAATGAGTCAATATATTCACACCACTTCATGTTAATGAAAAACAGGAGAGCAAGAAGATTCAATGAGTTTATTTACTGGAGGTTTGCATTAATTATGCTGAGAGAAGGCGAAGGGGGTTCTCTGTAGCTATTAAAAGATAGCAGTTTCGTTGGGGTGGGCGTTAAAATTTTAAATTGTCATTTTTTGGGTTACATTTTACGCCATCCTTTCTGCATTGCTCCAATAAAATCTTGCTCGATTCAAACCAGAAATGGAACCCACGATATCCAATAAATTGGATAAACACCCACACATTTATATATAGGCAAGAAGTTGATGCGCAGCTCGAGTTTAATGACAGTCTCAGGAGCGGCCTTAAGGGTAAGAGAGTTTTGTATTTACCCGTTTGCACGTATTTTCCCGCTTTTATTTAAAATTGAATGATAATCAGGTGGAATGATAAATATATAAGCACATTTAAAAAATACTTATTTTGTCATGGTGCGCTGTTCAAGCAGGGCTATGAGTTAGCCCACTTGAATGTGCCAAAACGATTGATAGAGGGGAGACACTTTAAGCCCATGAATAGGCAATAATATTCTTACTGAGCCTCTTTTTGGTCGTTTTAGCTCTGGCCTTCAGTTGTAGTTGCACATCGTTCGCTTCTTTGGTCCTCCTTTGACTTTTAAATTCTTTCACACACAGATATACGCACAACGTAAATCTCCTGAAAAAGGTCGGTGCGTACAACGGCCGAAACGTCATGAATATGCCAATAAAGATGAGGACAACTGTCCGAACGATGTAATTAGTGTAAATAATTTCAACTCATCTCAGAAGAATAGACAGATATGGACACACGTGTCTGTCACAGACGCTTGTTACACACACACACACACACACACACACACACACACACACACACACACACACACACACACACACACACACACACACACACAAGCATCAATATCATTTTTCTTTTAACTAGTTTTAATGACTTTTTCCTTTCGTTACAATTGTCTATACATGCAATTCCGTTTGTTAATACATGCATTATCCTACCTTTTTAAATTTCTTGTTTTGCTACTATTTTTACCTGGACTCATATTGAATCCACCAATATTGTTTGCGGGATAATGTTCCAGAACCCCGGAAATATTTACTATCCAAAGTGTTAATTCCCGGAATATAATGGCGACTAATATTTTCCCAAACATACTAGCATCCCGCAACAGGGTCATTAGGTAAAAGAATTTCATTTCGAGTTTCTTATGTGAGGAAATTAATCAGCGTTTTATGCCAAATAGGAGATCAGATATTACAAAGCAATCCTTCTCTGTGTTCTTTCTTTCTTGATAAATTTCCTTGCTTATTTTCGAAAAGGCATTTTACGCTATTACTACGAGACCACGGATTTTCGACATACATTTTTCCCCAAATAATTGTAACGTCCAATTTTTCGCTTGACACATATTCCTGTAAGCTGCTCCCTAACAAGCGTAGGGCGTAGACGAGTGGATTTATAAATAAGCTCTGGCTGTTTATTACGATATTACAGTGAATAGTCATGTCATTATTATTGTATAAATTATATTTATTTTCTGAATTATTATTCTTTATGGATAGAAAAGTGACTGTTTACGACTTAACAAAAACTAAAGAGAGGTGAGAGGGCGCTCGAGCGGGTATGATTATCGTGAGACACTAAATAAAAACAGAGAGGAAAACAACGACAATAAATGATGAATAAAAAAAGAAAAAAAAAAGCAAAAACAAAAAAAAAACAAAATTCAATTTATTAAAAACAGCTACAGATATAGAAAGGGGGGGGGATAAGCGAAATTATAAAAATAATAACGGAGAAAACGGGGAAAGTAACAGCAATAAATGGAAATGCGCATTTATCATAACAAAAGAGGTTTAGGCGTAGAGTGGATGGCAAAAAAGGCGGGAAACGGAAGGGGGAGAAAGAGAGAGTGTCTGAAAGATGGGTTGGAAGGTGAGAGAAAAACATGATAAATAGGAAGGGAAGATGGGTAAGAGGGGAGATCTAGTGGAATATGGAGGTGTTCGAATGAAATGATGTTATCAAAAATGTTCCCAAACGCAACGTAAAAGTAAGTAAAGAAAAAAAAAAGGTTATTAATTTTTAAAAAAAGTGATAGGATCAGACGAACAAGAGATGAAAGAAGAAGAGAATAAAGGAAGAAAGAAATTGTAAAATAAAGGAACAAAAAGAAAACAACATGAAATGAAGGATCAAAAAGGTGAAGTTGAAAAAGAACGTTAAGTATAAGGAAAGAAAAACGTGTAAGGATGGAACTGAAGAAGAAGAAGAAGAAGAAGAAGAAGAAGAAGAAGAAGAAGAAGAAAGAAAGAAAAATAGAAAGAAGAGGATATTAGGAAAATGACCAAAGAAAAAGAGACAAGAAATGAAAATCCTACAGAAGGATGAGAAAGAAAGAAACAAAGAAAGATAAAAAAAAAAAACGAGGAGTTTAAGAGATTGACCAAACAAAAAAAAAGAAAAAAAGAATAGACGAAGCTACAGAAGAATAAGAAAAAAGAAGAAAGGAAAAAAAAAGTGAAGATTAAGAGAAGAATAGGGAAAAAGAAAGAAAGAAAAAAAGAAGAAGAATTAAGAGATTGACCAAAAAAGAATAGACATGAAATGATGAAGCTAGAGAAGAATAAGAAAAAAAAAAGAAGGAAGAAAAAAAGTGAAGATTAAGAGAAGAATAAGGGAAAAAGAAAGAAAGAAAAGAAGAAAAAATGAAGAGATTGACCAAACAAAGAAGAAGAATTGACATGAAATGAATAACCTAAAGAATAATAAGAAAAAAGCAAGAAGGCAAGAAAGAAAGAAAGAAAAAGACATTAAGATAAATAACCAAACAAAGTAGAGGAAAGAGATATGAAATGATGACCGCAAAGAAGAATAAGAAAAAAGAAGGAAAGAAAGAAAGAAAAAAAAAAAAAGACATTAAGATAATGACCAAACAAAGAAGAAGACGAAACATGAAATGATGAACCTAAAGAAGAATGAGAAAAAAGAAAGAAAGAAAGAAAGAAAAAGAAAAAGACATTAAGATAATGACCAAACAAAGAAGAAGACGAAACATGAAATGATGAACCTAAAGAAGAATGAGAAAAAAGAAAGAAAGAAAGAAAGAAAGAAAAAGAAAAAGACATTAAGATAATGACCAAACAAAGAAGAAGACGAAACATGAAATGATGAACCTAAAGAAGAATGAGAAAAAAGAAAGAAAGAAAGAAAGAAAGAAAAAGAAAAAGACATTAAGATAATGACCAAACAAAGAAGAAGACGAAACATGAAATGATGAACCTAAAGAAGAATGAGAAAAAAAGAGTGAAAGAAATAACGAAATATATAAAAAGGTCATTAAAAAATGACTAAACAAAGAAGAAGGATCGAAATGAAATGAAGAACCTAAAGAAGAACAAGAAAGAAAGGAAGAAAGAAAAAGAGAGAGAGAGAGAGAGAGAGAGAGAGAGAGAGAGAGAGAAAGAAAGTGAGAAAGTAAGATAGAAAAAGAGGACATTAAGAGAATGACAAAGAAGCAGAGACATGAAAGGATGAACTTAAAGAAAAAAAAGAAGAAAAAAAAAAGAAAGAAAGTGAGAAAAAGACATTAAGAGAATGACCAAACAGAAAATAGACATAAATAGAAGAAAAAAAAGAAACAATGAAGAACATAGAGGAAGACATGGAATGAAACATGAAAATAAAAAGAAGGAAATGCCCCAAAATAAAACGAAAACAAGCAAGAAATAATAATAATAATAATAATAATAATAATAATAATAATAATAATAATAATAATAAATCTGCAACTTCTACGGGAAGGAAACTGAAAGAAACTGTTATGAGCAGTACCCAGATCCGGTTACGGAGAGAGGACCTGTTACAATTCTATGGGACTACACAAAACACACTAACAGAACAATCAAAGCCAACCGCCCAGATATTGTTATTAGAAACCGCAAACAAAAAAAAGTGCCTCCTTATTGATATGGCAGTATCTACAGACTGCAATGTATCTTTGAAGATATTCAAAAAGCTGTCAAAATACAAGGACCTTGAAATAGAAATCTCGAAAATGTGGCATATGGGAACATCAACAATCCCTGTTGTAGTTGGAGCCCTAGGACTGGTTGGAAAAGATTGTAGTAGACTAATTGAAGGGATTCCTTGAAGTCCACGCCTCAAAGAGATACAAAAAATTGTTCTGACAAGTACAGCCCACACCTTACGAAGGGCTTTATCTATGTAATTTTTTTTTTGTCAGTAGAAAGTGTCATGATGCCATTTCTAACCTTACGTCCCTGTGCGGGACCCCGAAAGAAATGTGTAAACGCCAGAAATCAAAGAAAATAATAATAATAATAATAATAATAATAATAATAATAAATATACACCCCAGCTTTAGCAACTACAGGTAAGCTTGGGGTCAAGACAATGAAAAAAATAGCAGACATAGAGAGCCAGCTTAGAAGGCAAAACTGCCGCGAGAAATAAACGAAATCAGGTGTAAGCTTTCTGTATTAGATGAGCCTCACTAGAAACCCAAATGTCTCCACACGCAAATGCAAGAAGATCAAGCGGAAATATAAAATCAAATCCCTAATTGAAATCACATCAATCAAGGAAATGCTGAAACAGAAACTTCAGTTAAAGGCACAGAGAACAAGACGATACGAAAAGCGGTGCAAGTTCTTGCGCCAAAATAAAATATTCCAAACGGACCTTAAGAAATTTTACAGGCAAATTCGAAATGCACCTATACATGACGAAACGCCACTCTCTATTGACAATATTGAGAGAATATTTGGAGCAAAAAGAATATAACCCAATTGCAGAATGTATCCAACGTGAAGAAAAACGATTGCTGGTTACTCCTATGCAAGAGTGGGAAAATATAACCAGAGTTAATGTTAGGCAAACTCTAACGAAATCTCCAAAATGGAAATCCCCAGGAAATGACAAGGTGCCCAATTTCTGGCTCGGTCATCTCTCATCAATACATAAAACTCTTGCAAAATATCTATCAACGCTTGTAAATAATCCAAATGAATTCCCGGATTGGATCACTGAAGGCATGCTTAAAACGAGTGAAAGAAATGACCCGAAAAATTATAGGCCAATAACATGTCTCTCCACCACGTATAAGTTGATCACGTGTGTCCTGACGAACCGAACTTACTCTTTCTTCGAAGCAAATAACATTCTTTGACTGGAACAGAAGGGATGCAGAAGAGGTTCATATGGCTGCAAAGATCAACTACTGATAAACAAAATGATCATGGAAAATTACAGGAGACGTTGTAGAAATCTTAGCGCAGCATGGATTGATTATCGTAAAGCCTTTGATAGTGTGCCACACTTTTGAATCCTTAAGACTTTGGAAATGTATAAAGTTTCCCTGTGGTAGTAAATTTCCTTAAGCACAACATGAGAATGTGGAACACCAGACAATACCTAAATCACCCCAGAGACATTGCAATCTCCAACCGTCTGAATATCCGACGCGGAATCTTTCAAGGAGAGCCCCTCACTCCTTCTGTTTTGTTTGTCCTTAACCCCCCCGCCCTACGCTTGAACTAAACAACAGTAGCTATGGTTACAAACTAGACAAAAAATATTCAATCACCTACTCTACATGGATGATCTCAAACTCTTTGCCAAAAACGACAATGAGTTGAAGGGCCTCCTGAATATTGTAAAATGTTTCAGCGACGGCATAGTATGGACTTCGGATTAGATAAATGTGCAAAAGTAACATTCAAGAAAGGGAGAATTATAGAAATAACCTCAATCGATTTAGACTTTGTCACAAAGATTAGGGAACTGGAGCATGACGAAGCCTATAAGTACCTAGGAATTAGCGAAGGAGATGGTATACAACATACCCAAATGAAGGTGAAGGTAAGCAAGGAGTACTACAGGCGTGTACGTCTGGTACTAAATACCGAGTTGGCTTCATAAAACCGAATATATGCCATAAACACCTTGGCTGTCCATGTGGTGCAATACAGCTTTAACATCCTTAATTGGACCATAGCTGAAATTAAGCGAATGGACGCCAAAATGAGAAAGCTTCTCACTTGCTACCGCATGCATCATTCCAAAACCGATGTTGATCGTCTGTATGTGCCCAGATCCGAAGGAGTCAGAGGATTAGTTCAACTAGAACTGTCCTACGAAACTATCACAATTAGCCTTCAAAGATACCTGGAAAACGCAGATGATGATATGTGTTAAAGAACATGAAAGTAGTAAGCGTCTTTATTCCGTAATAAAAGAAGCCAACAAGTTCAAAATGGAGTTTCAAATGGATGCAGAAATACAAGTAAAGCACAATACACCGATTGACGTTACAAAATACCTAAAAAAGAAAGCAAAGGCAAATGTAACCGACCAGATACAGAAACAATGGCAAGATAAAGCCGCTTCATGCCTAATACTCTGCCCGTACCAAAGAAGCTAATGTAGACAAACACCGTAGCTATCAGTGGCTACGTAGTGCAGGGTTAAAAGCTGAAACGGAAGGTTTTATCCTTGCTGCACAGGATCAGTGCTTGTTAACTAGAAATTATCAAGTACACATACTAAAATATAGTGTTAGCCGAAAATGCAGATTATGTGATAATTACCCAGAAACAATCGATCATCTTGTATCAGGTTGCACGGTATTGGCACCCACTGAATATAAAAAAAAACGGCATGACAGAGTTGGCCAATATCTGCACTGGAAAATCTGTAACTTCTTTGGGAAGGAAACTGAAAGAAAGTGGTATGAACACCACCCAGACACGGTTACGGAGATAGGACCTGTTACAATTTTATGGGCCTACACAATACACACAGACAGAGCAATGAAAGCTAACCGCCCAGACATTGTTATTAAAGACCACAAACAAAAAAGTGCCTCTTTATTGATATGGCAGTACTTGAAGACTGCAATATATCTTTCAAGATCTTCAAAAAGATATCAAAATACAAGGACCTTGAAATCAAAATCTCAGAAATGTGGCACATGGGAACATCAGCAATCCCCTTTGTAGTTGGAGACCTCGGATTTGTTGGAAAAGATTCGAGGAGACGAATTGAAGGGATTTCTGGAAGCCCATGCCTTAAAAAAAATACAAAAAAATGTTCTCACGAGTACAGCCCACAACTTACGAAGGGCTTTGTTTATGTAAAATGTTCTTTTTTTCCAGTGGAAAATGTCATGGTGCCATTTCTGACCTTAGATTCCAGGGCGGGATCCGGAAAGAAATGAGTACACATCAGAAATCAAAGGAAATAATAATAATAATAATAATAATAATAATAATAATAATAATAATAAGAAGAAGAAGAAGAAGAAAAAGAAGAAGAAAAAAGAACCAAATGGAGGAGGAGGAAGAGGAGGCTGAGTGTCATTTGAAATCGCAAGATAAGGAGGTGGTGGGGGCTAAAAAGCCAATACCATTTCTCCAGTTTCAAACCCTGAACAAATACGAGTGGATTTATAAATGTTCTTTGCCAAAATCTAACTAAATGTCGAAACGACAGAATTTTTAAAACAGTTTCTTCGTCTAGCTGATAACTTTTCAGCAATCCTTTGTAATGAGTAAATGCAACAAGCTGATTTATACGAAATACAAATATGACTGATCAGGAACGTCGATATATTAGGAATTATGCAAACACTGTAACGTCAACCTTGTTGCTATTAACCTCAGCGCTCCGGTATTCTCCTCAACAATCTGATTGATACTGTTACATATCGATATTTTCAGTGCTCTCACTGACTTAAATTCCGTCTACCCTCTTTGCAAGACTCTTCGAGTTTGGTCTATGCGCATTTGTGTCTGGTGGAATTATAAATCTTTTATTTCCTACTAGCAGCCATACCCAGTTGGTTAATCAGGAAAAGCGTTCAATTAGAATGGAGCAAAAACAGAACCATGTTTAGATGTAACAGAGTCTATCTTCTTCAATTACTTTAAAGTATTTTCATTAAAAAACATTTTGAATTAGTGGGTTTTTTTGATGTAACAGTTGAGGTTTCTGGGGCATATAATGAGGAAAGAGGGCTTGGAAAATCTGATACTCACTGGATAGATAGAGAACAGAGGAAAGCAAGGCATAATTTGAGATTGAGGAATGAATGGCGGAACCGGGTTAAGAAGTTTATTTAGAGATACTAGGGACAAGAAGTTGTGGAGAGTCATGATCACGTATGTCCAGAGGGGAAACGGCACTAAATGAAGAATTCGTAGCTAGTACCTTATCTTTGATTTTTTTCTTCCTGAAAACCATGCATTATCTTCGCGCAATCGATAGTTAGTCCTTTTTCTCACTTTCTTTTATTGCCTTTTCTTGGAATTCCTGCAGTTTTATCTCCGTATACGCAACCACTGCCTTGCTATCTCTCCTAGTTTAAGACTAATAACTGCTATGCTCTCCAGGTCCCTTAAATGAAGCGATTAACAAAAAGATATACATATACACATAATAATGATTGTATCAAACAAGAAATAATGAAAACTGGAAATAGTAATAATATAAATATTAATAACTAGCAGCCATACCCTTCCGGTCGGTCAAAAAAAGCGTTCAATTAGAATGGAGCAAAAACAGCATCATGTTTAGATGTAACAGAGTCTATCTTCTTCAATTACTTTAAAGTACATTGATTAAAAACATTTTGGCCTATTGGA